CAGTCACAAAAGCGTTGCAAATTTGTGACCACTTTGTGACTCRATCATTGACCAAACCAAAAATAGAGTGCCATTTACATTATAATGGGTGACACTTTAAGGACCAACTTGCGACTACGAGTCTTTAAAATGTCGCAAATGTACGACCAAACTCTGCGTCTCAAAGCAGTCTCTAATGCGCGACGACATATTTTCAGTCTCTCTTTAGTCGTTTAATTACCACTACTGTATTTCGTCTTTAAGTGGTCGCAAWTATGCGACTARAATATATGGTCAKAATGTAGTCGGTAATATGRGACTGTTTTGTGACGKTTTTATTTTGCGACCGATTTTTAACAACTCTTTTATTCAGTCACTAAGTAGTCGCAAAGTAGTCTTTTGTGACCGTTTTGATACTATTTTTGGAGTCACTCACGACCTGTTTTCTTGTAGTGAATAGCTCATCCTAGGAGTATTCCAGTATTAAACGTGTTTATGTTAAAACAATTAAAAGTGGATGGTGTATTAAGAAATGATTTTAGTATGGTGTGATTGAATACAAAAAAAGTTAGAGAAGTTTGTCCAGGAAATTTGAAATTCAGACACGGTTTCCACTAAAAAGGTTAAGAGTTGCGAAAAGAGGTTACGTTTTTATAACAAAACTAGATTATAGAACACAAGTTTAGCACTTCTAGAGCACATATGCATGTTCCATGTACATAAAGACAATGATTTGTATTAATATCTTAGTTTTATATCTCCCTTATTCTCTTCCTTACACAATGCATGTATACACACACTGACACACATGTATATACAATTTATCTCTGCTCCTTTATATATATTCGATATAACTACTTTTTGGCATGAAGCTGTTGGATCGTTGTTGGTAAAGAGAACATGATACATCTCATTTCTGTTCGGTCTCTTTCAAATATTTCATCTAGACAAAATTTAATAATAGCTTTCAGATTTGATATCTCATATTTCATACAAATCCCACAAAAAAAATGATCCAACTAGTGCTCATAACATACGATTCGTTGGATTTTGCGAAATCTATTAATTATTTCATTTAATAAAACCATCCGACTAAGCGTTGAATTGAACATTGAACTGGAATAACCAAATTTATTCCCAATATAACACGTAGCCACTTTGAGTAGTTAGCTTTCCCTTCTCAAAACATTATAATTACGACAAAAAAAAATCACTTTTCTCGCATCTGTAAAAACTTAAAAGTCTACCGTTCATTTATTTGTCTTTCATTTTGTATCACTTTCTCTACTTCTTCTAAGCATTTCTTTTATCGATTACTATTCTCGCTTACCACTAAAAAATTCTTTTTATGTCATTAATCCGACCGACCACTATTTTAAAAGGCAAACTGGCCATATTCACTATAACCAAATCACGGTTAATTTTCTTCCAACTTCTTCTATACGTACCATTTCAATTACACAATGCCCACTAACGATTATTACTTCCGCGTTTTCGTTTGTTTAAAACTACTCTAATTTGCTAACGCTACAACTTTCTGCAGCCAAATAACTTGCGTTTTAAAGAACCAAACACAATTAAAACAGCGACACTTGTGCAAGTATATTCTCCTTCTTTTTTTTTTTTACCAAGAATAATCCGTTAAAAATGTAATACATATGGTTATGGCTTAAGGAGCTTAACTTGCTTGCTTGCTCTCCAAGAAAGTAACTTTTCTCAGTTAGGTTAAGGATACCATAGGCTTCACAATGGCCAGAAGAATGTCGGTGTAGGCCGTCTCCAACTTTAGTTTAGCGCACTGCAATGGAGAAACATCGCGATTTTCAACAGGTTAGAGGAACAGTTTTGATCCGGTGGTGAATAAAAAATAGAGAGCGAAACTAGCTGAGACATGGAGTTTACTTGTAGATGTACGAGACGATTCCAAGGATCACACATAGAAGAATAATGTCGATGCAGAAGTTGCGGCTGGATCTCATCTGCAATACCCCCAACCATTTATAGCACAGAGTTGTGGTGAAACAATTAGCCTGATCATAAACAATTTCAAGAAACAGTTTCTGTTTTAGATTTGACCTGCACAAGCTGTTTCTTAAGCCGAACATTAGTGTTCTTCAAATCCGAAGTTGCTCCATCAACCTACAACATTCATGCAGAAATTATATGTCTAGCGTTTTCTTCTACGTACTGAGACTAAAGAGAAGGAAAAAGAATCATCAAAAGGAAAATGAATCTCACCTTTGTTTCCATTTCGTCCATCAATGGGACTTGCTTGTCAAGTTCCTGGAACCGAAAATGTTAATCCCCAACGGATAGAGAAAATCTCTGTTACATGACGCATGAGAAAACAACAAACCTCGTTCATGTCACGCGCTAAGTTCTTCAGAGCGTCCAACCCTTCTGATATGACATCAAGACCCTCGTCCTGAAGACAAGACAGAACATAATCTGAATTCTCATTAACGAAAGAAAGAAAAATTAAAAGCAGATCGATGGAATTCGCACACCTGTTTCTTTCTTCTCATCTCATATTCTTGTCGAAACTGGCTGGATTCTTCAGTTTGTTGGAAAAACCCATCATCCATGTCTTCCTCTGATGAAGAAAAAACTCATAATACAGAGTCTCTTGCGGG